ATTATTAAACTGTTTTTATCTCAACCCACAAGCCTCCTTCCCTTTTTCCCTTTAATTCTCTTCCCCATTCCCTGGGGGTGGGAGAGGGTGAGCAAGCAGCTGTGTGGTGTTTAGTTGCCAGACAGGTTACACCGCACCATATGCTCACTTTGGTGTGATCTAAAAGCTTCTTTTCTATAAGCTTGTAAACAACAAAAACGGACAAAGGCAGTTTTACCAATGTTTTAATGTTGGGTATGAGTTTGTCAAATGAATCAGATTATAGTATCTTTTAGTGACATACTTGTAGCTTTTGTTTCATCAGAACCACTTAGTCACAGCTTTGAAACGGCCAGAAATTCCACTCTGATGCCTGCCAATTTTGGTGTGATCACTTCATCTCAAAGCAAGAAACAAAACAACAAAACAAACTCGTGTATCTAAAGATTGTTGCTAGTTCTCGAAAGTGCAACAAAAAAACTCCCCCCGTTTGCAGACAACCTAAAACAAAACGCAAAAATTGACTACGGATTCTGCAACCTAGTTTTCAATTGGCAAATTGCTTACCTTCACAGGTTTACCTTGAACTCCAAAACCATTTATTATGTTGCATTGGAATTCAAATATTTCATTTGTTCCCAGCTTATACATCAAAGGCTTGAGTTTACGTGAACATTCAGGTTTCACTTATCAAAACAAAAATGGCTCACAAGCTCAAAGTAGAGCAATAAGTTTTAATTTCCATTTCTTGCAGTCTCTGAGGGTCTTGAAAAGGTTGATTGTTCTGCACTTTGGTTCCAGTCCATAAAATGGGAATCAGCTCCCCTCCCCACATTTTTGCTCTTTTACATTTTTGGCTTCTCATAGGCTTTTACTCACAGTAATAGAGAAAAATGTAAATGTCAGTGAAATAGGAATACTCTTTCACATTGGAATGAAAGTTTCTCTACATTGCACAGATAATGATTTGACTATTCCAGATAGTCAAGCAACAACCCCAAAAGCGCCCCAACACAACTTTAGCTGGTTTATCTGAAAGTAAGCAGGTGAGAAGTTTTTAAAAGTCAGTGCAGACAGTCACTATGAACTGAAGGAGGCAACATAGACTATACTCATGTGATGCAGAATACTAAAAAAAATTATGGCTTATCATGCTAAAAAATCTAATTATACGATAAGTAAAAATCTGATTCAAACATGAACTTTTTATTTAAACAATGATGTTTCTCAAAAATAGTCCTGTAGTCCTTGTAGCAGCAACCAAAAAGGCACATAAGTACAAAACGATCCAGAATACAGATCAAGCAGAAAATAAAATTTTCATATGGGCATTCTTAAAGCATATCCTGAAATACATAGCTATAGTTTTTATTTTATAAAAAAGGACATCATACTGTTATTTTTCCATAGCAGTTTACTCTGATTAGTGTAATCTGTCCCTCTGCATAGTGCCCACCTGTGCTTACTGAAAATCCTGACAGCATAACCTCCAACTATTACTATCCAATATCACAAGGATTTTATGTGAACATATTGAGTTGGATTTCAAGAGTATTTGTACCATGTAAACTCTTTTTAGCTCCCTGTGAGTCTTCTCTCTAAGCTGTGTAGCTGTTTAGAGATAAAACTCAGCACAACAGTTTAGTGCTTCAAAGTAGTTCGACTAAGCTAGTATTTAGTTGCTGTTTCAAAACCTTGGTTCCTTCTTCATGTTGCTTATGACTCCTCTTCCAAACTGGTGCAAAGCCCCTCCAATTAAACATACTATAATGGAATTACACCATTTTTCATAATTCAGAGGTTTCAGTTTAGATGTTTTGAAGTTAATAATACAAAAAACTTCACCCATAATATCAAACATGCATATAATACCATATGAAATGCAGGAAGCAAATAGTATTTAATATGAATTTAAAATTTAGACAATGGAATTCTCTGGCCAGGCATTCTTAAAAAATGGCTTCCAAAAGTGGTTAAAGAAAGACATAAACAAAAAAGAACTGAAGTTCCTCCCATAATTCAATACTAAATGACATAATAAAGCACAAAATTATCTCTTAATTTGTTATTTTTGAAGGAAGGGGGGATAATTCCTTGAAATTTATTTGAAGTTCCTATATTCTGAGAATATGCAGAGAAAACAATACATTTCAAATGTTTTTTGGGAAAACTGAATGTTTATCTACATTTTTGAAAATATTAAAGAGTTTTAAGAAATAAATTTAAAAATTTTAAGATGCAACTTATGAAAGAGTTCTGTACGCAACAGTGATATCCCATTTTAAGGAATGCTAGTAACTGGTAGTTTGAATTGGAAGTACATTGCGTCATTCACCAGTTCCAAAATTCAGCATTCTTCCCCTCACTGCATTTGTACCATTCTGGAACAATCTTGTTACTCAGTCAGGTTTCAACGCCATCAGTGGAAGAACTTGAATATCTGAAGTGAAGTCGCTGTACAGTGTAAAATATTTATCCTGACAATTTGGGGAAAAAAGAATCCAAAACAGCACTCTAATTCAATACAGACTGTGCAGCTTCCTTAAGAAGTGATGCAGCTTTGTCCAGTTCTTGTTCTGTTTGTTCCACTGTTACCACTACTCGAATACTAGAAAAAGAAAACCAGAACATACACAGTAAACTTTACTCCTTGCCTTCAGCTTTCGACTTTTCTTGTACCAGTTTTAACACATTCAGATCACTGTCTCTAGGGAAATCACCATGAATTCAAATCAACCAGAAACAAGACATATGACTGAACGGAAATGGTCAGACTATCTTTTTCCCCCCATACATACCACAAAAATTTGATTGTTTTCTTTTTTACCTGCAGATGCGCAGCTCATGGAAATGTGCCTGTTAACAGGCAACGTGCTAACCACTGAGATTCAGGTCGTTTTGATACAGTGATTTCAGGGTATTAACATCCTGTAACAATCACTGAAAATATACTTCAAATGTAGCCTTTCCTATTTCTACAGGGCCAACCATTAAATCTGGTCTACTGAACAAAACCCCAGAACTGCATGAAAAGAGATAGAGAGTCATATCCGGTAAAATGAAATAATGTATTGACTTTCTACTAACCTGGGTGGAGGAAGACATTTTTCTTCTTTCTCCAGATAGCGGGCCTGAGTTAATGCAATACCACTATTCATACACTACAGATAAAGAAAATACAGCAGTTGTCAATCTAGGAACTTCTGATGGCATATCCTTTTGATCACCAAATACACATAACTAACTTTTATGAGTTTGATGTCAAGATAATGGTAAGTTCTTTCCCAAAAGGAGATTTTGAAGGTTGTGCAAAATCACCTCCAATTTTAATACAGCATAAACCTATGAAACACGTTAAGGCGTAGCTTCTTTACCTTTCAACTCCAAGTAATCAGACAAAAATACTGTATTAAGTTGGCTATTAAATCATATTTAAGAATATTTTCAAGGGAATCAACTTCAGAGTTTCTTTTTGTTGCCACCTGAAATATAAAACTTCCTCATCAACCTTCATCTCCTTCATGTGACAGAAAGAGAATCAATGTATACTGAAGATAGAAAAAATGCTACAAACAAAATAGGAGATTCTTCTCACAAAAAAGCAAGTTCATGGACTCAAACAAGTAAAATTACAGAAAACTAGACCTCTAATTGTTAAAATACACCACCAGAACTCTGTTCAAACGATACCCTTTATTCTTATGAACATCATGAAGTTTTCTAAGCAAGTTTTATATGGAAATATAACTTCAGTTTTGAAGTATGTAATAAGAAATAATTTTTTGAAGTAAAAGGTTTAATATATATTTTTATCCAGTGCTACAGACCTAAACACCTGCAGCAAGAACTGGTCAGAAGATGGTCTTTAATATAGTCCTATAGTCAGCAAAGAAACTGAATTTCTTGCAGCTTTCTTGCAACATACTGTAACAAGTTACCCAAGAAGCTTCCCTACCCATATGCATGTCATTCATTATTCACATTCAAAGGCAGCAATATATTTTAAATGCTATGGGGACACTTACATAATCCACAACTCTTTTGAGTAACTTCACGTCATTTTCTCGAGATCCAGAGCTCTCTTCCAACTGCAGGTGCAATGCTGGAGAAAAAGATTCTCCCACTACTTTTAAGCCTGAAATCCTAAAACAAATAAAAAGCCTACTTGAACATGTGTGTTAATTTTCTAGATAGTGAGTGTTTCCCCTTTCTGGGTGGTGAGACAGAAGAGAGGGATGTTTCACTTTACTAATACTAATGCAGATAAGACATATGTACATTTCAGCTTGCAATAGGTAAAGATAACCAAAATTATCAAGTGAATGTCTTTCTTAAGGAGCTTACTGAACGTAGTTTCAGCAAGTTTGTGTAACGATAGTGACTCCTCCTTTTGCAAAAAGGATTAACAATTCAGAAATTTTTAAAGGATCATTATGAAGATATAGGAGAAATGTGAGTATTAGGCCTGTATGTTGCTGATAAAAACACAGCTAAGTCAGTCAAGTCTTTGGAGTCTATATTAAGAAAATAAATAATAAATCTTTTTAGCCACTTATATGATAAGGTTTTTTTTTTTTTGGCAAGACTTCTGATTTTAAATTATTTCCAGTAGAAAAATCTTTACAACATCGTCTGTCACTTAGAAGCTCCTCTAAAACTAGCTGCATTACTAGAATTGTTCCCACATCTGTATGTAGGGACAGTTGTTAATTGGGTTCCTAAAATGTGATTGAACGATCAACCATTTGATTGTCATTGTCCTAACACATCATACCATCATATTCAGGAGTGAGAAATTCTCCTCCAAAAACCGTATCTGATACCCAAGCAAGACCTTTGGTCTCCAAAATTAACAGGTCCCATAAAGACATTTCTACCACCAGTCACAATTTGGATTTCCTGACTTTGATGAGCTTGCCTCACACACATTGTAAATTTATACCCCCGTTTTCAAGTAAGTTTTCTATTTTTACAAAGTTCAAGACCCAATCAGAGCAGAAGAGACATTAAATCTATAAACACCAAAACTGAAGCCTATAGCAGAGGGAACTGGCACTAGAAACACAAATTATAACCCTGAAAAAATTAAAATTACACTCTAGTAAGGAAAGCGTCTTGTATTATTTCTACAACACTATTTCAATTCATAGTTCATTCCAGAAAGACAAGTCAAACTGATATTCCTCTTCAGCCACAAAACTGCAAACATTCTTGTGTCATTCACCTACACTTGCAAACTAACCGAACACGGGTGATTTTTTTACTACACAAGCACAGACGCTGCATTTGTCTCACTAATGCACATATATCTAGGGAGTGTGGATATCACATTTGGTAACAGAAAGGACAAGAAAAAGCAGTCCAAGGTCCAGCTACAAGGTAGAAAGAAAATACACACTAGAGCCATGTAACATATCTGTTCTTGGTTACCTTCCCTAGGAGTCATCTGACTTCTAAGAAGTAGCGTTCTACAAGTAGGTAGATGAGAACAGAAGTCAGATGAAGTAATTTAAATCTATTTGCTGGAGAATAGAGTTTAAGACAAGCTACTAAAACAACTACGTTTTGTTTAGAGAGACACAGTATTAGCTTCTAGTTACAAAACAGACGTAATTCTATAATTGAAACAGATAATCATAAACTGCCCCCCTCCAAAGAGTAAATGAGAAAAGATGAATAGGAAGTAAGCTTTGTACCACTTTCATTCAAACTGAGTCTCTGCCTGAACAACATGCTTTGTATTTGCTATACGCTTACTCATAGCGGCTGCTTACACGTTGCAAACCATATTTCAATCTTAAAACTTTTTCTGTCAGTCACAGCTGTACGAGACTGAACTACGAAATTCAACTTACCCACCTATTTGAAGAAATCCAGGAGTTTAACATAAAGTCTTCCGATGGCAATACTTTCACTTTCACGTAAATCACAGAATCACAGAATGTTAGGGATCAGAAGGGACCTCAAAGGATCGTCTAGTCCAATCCCCTGCTGGAGCAGGACCACCTAGATCAGATCACACAAGAACGCATCCAGGCAGGTTTTGAACATCTCCAGAGAAGGAGACTCCACAACCTCTCTGGGCAGCCTGTTCCAGTGTTCTGTTACCCTTCCTGGGAAGAAGTTCTTCCTCATGTTTAAGCAGAACCTCCTATGTTCCAGCTTATATCCATTTTCCCTTGTCCTATCATTGGATGCCACTTAGAAGAGCCTGGCTCCATCCTCATGACAGTCACCCTTTACATATTTATAAACATTAATGAGGTCCCCCCTCAGTCTCCTCTTCTCCAAGCTAAAGAGACCCAGCTCCCTCAGCCTTTCCTCATAAGGGAGATGTTCCACTCCTTTCATCATCTTTGTGGCCCTGCACTGGACTCTCTCAAGCAGTTCCTTATCCTTCTTGAACTGAGGAGCCCAGAACTGGACACAATACTCCAGATGCGGCCTCACCAGGGCAGAGTAGAGGGGGAGGAGAACCTCTCTCCACCTACTAACCACACCCCTTCTAATACACCCCAGGATGCCATTGGCCTTCTTGGCCACAAGGGCACATTGCTGGCTCATGGTCATCCTGCTGTCCACCAGGACCCCCAGGTCCCTTTCCCCTGTGCTTCCCCAACAGTT